GACCTGTCTGGGCTACACAGTAAATTCCAAGTCCAGCATGTGAAACTTAGTGAGTAGAATAAAGGACTGGAGTGGAGGAACCCAGCCTAAGACTGAGTTACAGTATATACAGCCCCAAATTATTACAGATGGCATATATTAAATGCCGGGGGTACAGTGTAATGCCAGAGCAAACCCAGACTGCCCAGAGTGGATGTTCTTCACCGCTGTGCAGTGTGGCTGTCTGTGAAGGGAATGTCTTTGTCCCTCCTTGATTACATCATGATTGCAGGGGGATATCTTGAGACTCTAAATGCCTGCCCATTCACCTTTTCTGAGGAAAGCTGCCACAGAGGGGTCCTTTCTGTCATCTGTTGTGCCCGATGGTACATGGGTCAAAACTGATGGTACCAGGGATCTCTATCCTAGTTAAGAGCATCATTTGATGTTAAGGAGGTCTGTAGTTATTTTCCAAGTCCCTGAGGAAGCTGTGTCTTTGATGGGGTCCCTTACTTACTTAGTCGTATTCTTTCAGTAAGCTCCTAGCATTTAACAGAGTGGGAGGATGCTTTTGTTTCTTCCAACTGAAAAGAGCCTGCTCAAACGTTAAAAATTCAGACCTGTAATACACAGCACAGTAAAATGAATAATTCAGGCATTTAAAAATATCACATAAAAGAGATTATACAACCTCAAGTCTGGGCTTTGACATTTACGTTAACACAGAGAATAAGAAAAATGTGCAATGAAAATTACTACATAGTCGTTCAAAAGATAAATGAAAATGTGAATAGCTTCACACCCACAGAGTTCTTTCTAAGCCATTTAAAAAGTAAGCCTTCTTCAAACTGTAATTTAATTCAAGAATCAAGGGTAGGGAAGGCATTAGTAACTATGGTTATTTTCCTAAGCTAACCTACGAGAAATAAAAGTAATTTTCAGTGCATAAAGATCATTTTTAAGATATTTTCTCAAGAGATGTAGATAGATAAGTAGGTGGACAGACAGACTGACAGAGGTATCAATCTTTTCACAATACCCAAGGTAGGCAGAGAAGAGGGTATACATTATACCTAATTAAAATCAGCACAAGAAAATTAGGGTTCCCTTCAGCTGTCAAATGAACCACAAGCTTAGTCTGATCAACTCAGTGATCTGGAAAAACACAAGCTTTCGGCAATGATGACAACAAGTGTTGCCTCGAGTATTGTATTACTACTCATCATCGCTTTAGTCTGGGAAATGATACCATGTATTCTATAAGCACTTTATGAAAAATAGATTACAACTCAGCTACACAGTATCACAGCTGTACAATGCCTGTAAACATCACTAGTCCCAGCTCTGGAGTGTCACACCCATTATCAGACAGAGCTGAAGTTAGTCCTCAGAGCTAACAGGATAACAAACCCAACTTTTACCTGAGTCAACATTAATATTTTGATCTTAAAATATTATATATGCAAGATACACACTTTCGGTCATATCAGAATTGGAATTTCCTCTTCAACCCAGACTCTGCACCTTAATCACTAACTGTAAAGTCAGGCTGAGCTAGCTGCATGTCATGGAAGTGATCTACTTCTTTCTGGGAGCATTCAAACACAGCTCAAGCCCTTTCCATTTAAACTCCAGGAATGAGAAATTAAGAGCAGCACATGCGTGATGCTATAGAAATTTTTTCTGGGGGTTGGGGATTTAGCTCAGTGGTAGAGCGCTTGCCTAGCAAGCGCAAAGCCCTGGGTTCGGTCCTCAGCTCTGAAAAAAAAAAAAAAAAAAAAACTTTTTCTGTGATTTACAAAGGTTCTGTGTCAAAGACACATTCTAAGATTTCTATGACTGCTTCTAAAGGCTTATTAGAAAGGCAGTACATGAGCTTTAAACAGCTTACTAATTAGGCTTATGTGTAGACAAGGACACACACGTACGTACATATGTATTCGTGTACAGGAGACCAACGGGAACTTGAAAGCAAACACTGAAGAAGGTAACGAGTGAGGCATGGTGGTGCACTCTACAACCCCTTAAGTGGGGAGGCTGAGGTGGAGTGTGGAAGGTTCGAGGCCAGCCTAGCATACACAGCAAGACCCTGTCTAGTAAATGGATAAACAGGAATACATCACCAAAGGAGTGTTAACCTCCTAAGTTATTAGACAAGTCACTAACCACGGAAATTCATACATTAAAAGAGAAAACAAGTGGGACAAAACTTTTATTGCATTTAACCACAATATTATATTAACCACAATAGAATATTAAACAAAAATCACAGCCCAACCCATTGCTGGATGGCAGGTACGAGTCACTTATATATAAACAGTATTTTAGAAAAATGTTTTAAAAACAGAATAGTAAACATTACAGTGGTACATAATCCACCAATGCACAGTTCCTTCTACTACATTCTAAATGCAAACTTTATCCCCATTCACACAGACTTTTAACAGAAATGTTACATTAAACTTCAGAGTAAACCTCGATTCCAACTCTTGCCCTACGTCGGGCTCCCCCATTTCACAGAAATGACCCCGTTCTCAGAAGTTAGTCCTTGCTGGCCAGCCTCCTGCTCAGAACAAAATAAAACCTGTTCTTCTGTCAGAGAGCTCAGATTTAAAACTCCCCCGGGCTCCTGGTCAGCGCTTTCTTCTCCTCTTGGGTGCAGTGAACTCTGTGGATACAAGGTTAGGAAGTCCATCAATTCTTTAAACAAACTGACATTTAAATGACAGATTTAAGTAACAATATACAGGTCACCTGGGTAAGTGTTTAACTAGTCTAACCCACCAATGTCCTCACAGACAAGATCTAAAAGGGAAGCCTTGAGGGAGATAAATAACAAAGCACACACACACACACACACACACACACACACACACACACACACACACACACACGTATAATATAGATTAAATGATTTACAATATTGATATATTATCATATATTATATAATATGTAATTAAATTTTAATATATATTTCAGTGACACAATGTAGCGCATTACCTTACTGCTAACTTAAAAAAAAAAAATCTTAGCTCTGACACACGTTACTTTCTTCTAATGAAATTGCAGTTTAGAAACTCCTACCTCGCTGGTTGGTGGTGGCACACACCTTTAATCCCAGCACTGGGGAGGCAGAGCCAGGAGGATCTCTGTGAGTTCGAGGCCAGCCTGGTCTACAGATCGAGATCCGGGACAGGCACCAAAACTACACAGAAAAACCCAGTCTCGAAAAAAAGAAACTCCTATCTCCAATGGACAGAAGGATTTCAATCTTACTGAGATGCCAGTAAGATAGGAGAGCTCCGTCACTCTAAATTCTACTTCTTAATTATTAAGTTGCTTGAAATTTCCCCAGGGGTATGCCTTCCCTATAATTACCATGAACCCAGGGCTAGCTAACTGAGAGTTATCTAGGCAGTGCAAAGAGGAAGTGCAGACTTTGACTCCATCACAATGAAACCTGGAAACATGACACAACACGTATGTGCTGTGTCTTTCTGGCTCTCACAGCTAATGCGTAACTATCATGCAGATAACCATCATTAAATGCAAGACACAGAAACAAGAACATTAGAAAGCTGTGATAAAAAAGAAATGTTCCCCATCCATGAAAAATAAAAAGGGGATGCCACGGAAGGCGGAGGGTCAAGGGTTAGGAAGAAAAAGAAAACAGATTCCTAGAAGAGAAGCAGCCAAGACCAAGAACACAGCAGGGCAGAGGTCTGGGAGCAGCTCCTGAGACAGTGGCAGCAACAGAATCCCTAGCAGGCGTCCATATGCACGGACTGCATCACTGCTTGCTGTGGAGTGACATGGTTACCAGTGAAACACTGACGTGCTCCAGTGAGCCAAAGCAAGGGTCAGAGAGAGGACCTGGGTCGCCTGTCATAGGGAGGGCTCTAACCCGGCCGCTCGCTCTGCAAGCCTGAGACCCTGCACTAATTGATGAGATGCATATCTACCTGCTTCGCCGAAGTCAGTCTCCTCCTCCTCCTCTGCAATTATGGGCATACTCAGGAGTAAAGGCTTCTCCTCCTTCCGTTCACTCTGCACATTACCTAGGAATGTTTAGAGAGAGTGAGAAATGATTGTAGATAAAAACAGAATACTAATCTTAGATGTTTCAACAATGAAATTATAACATAATTATGCATTCTAGAATAAAAATCCTTTAAATGTTAATTTGCTAATTAGCTTACCAAGTACCAGGTTTCCTTATGACTTCTTTCTCATCCTTAGCCTTGACTGACCCCTCTCTCCATCTCCCTCAAAGCTTTACTTAAGTATTAAAATATGCCGGGCGGTGGTGGCGCACGCCTTTAATCTCAGCACTTGGGAGACAGAGCAGGCAGATCTCGGTGAGTTCAAGGCCAGCCTGGGCTACAGAGCGAGATCCAGGACAGGCTCCAAAGCTACACAGAGAAACCCTGTCTGGGGAGGGGGGAGCATTAAAATATTTGTGTCACTGGGCACAACGGCACACACCTATAACCTCAGCACTTGGGAGGATGTTCACTTTGAGGCCAGCCTGGGCTACAGTGAGATCCAGACTCAAATAAATAGATGATGGATGGATGGATGGATGGATGGATGGATGGATGGATGGATGGATGGATGGATGAAGGGTGGGTGGATGGATGGACAGATGGACAGACGGACAGGTAAATGGAAAAACCTTTAATCCAGGCACTCAAGAAGCTGAAGCAGGAGGATTATAAGTCTGAGGACTGACTAGGCCACATGGCAAGTTCCAGGCCAACTTGAGCTACATGTTGAAACCCTGCATCTACAGAACAAAAAAGCCCTGTGATTTGTATATAGTATATGATTCTTCTATTAGGTGAAATGGAGAGAGTGAGAAGAAACTCAGTGAGAGATATCTCATTTGATCTTTATCACACAAACAGGGTGTCTAGCGGGGCTGATCATGTGTTACTTCAACTTCATAGTAATTTAAAGTTGAACAGCTTCAGTCTTTTTGAATGCAGATACATTTTTTCTTTATTTTACTTTAAGATTTATTTTATTTTTTATGTATACAGCATTCTGCCTGCATGTATCCCTGCAGGCCAGTAGAGGACACCAGACCTCATTACAGATGGTTGTGAGCCACCATATGGTTGCTGGGAATTGAACTCAAGACCTCTGGAAGATCAGCCAGTGCTCTTAGCCGCTGAGCCATCTCTCCAGCCCGACACCTTTTCTTTCGCTACACAAGACACATGCTCGCATACTTCTTTAGTCATATCAGCCAGTGAATTTCCATTTTCAAAAACACTGGAGTTGGGCTGGGATGTGGCTCAGTCAGTAGAGTTAACTTAGCATGGGATATGTGTGTTCAATACCCAGCACCATAACCCAGGCATGGCGACCCACATCTACAGTCCCAGCACTAGGGAAGCGGAGGCAGGAGGACCAGAAGTTCAAGGACAGACAGACATCACAGGAATTGAACCGGGCCAGGCAGACTGAGCAAGCGTTCCCCCATATGAAATCCTCCTTATGCCACCCATACCTCCTCAGCATTTACTCACCAGTACCCTCCACGTGCTGAGACCGGGCATGCTTATCTCATCCCCCAATCAGCCTCTGTATCCATCTGCATCACTGTCAAGGCACCCTCGAGTCCCTACAACCAAGGCCATTATTTACCACTCCTAAACCTGAGCTACCGCAGCAGCCCACTCTAGCCTGTTAACTCAAACCTACCGTGTTCCTCCTGGTTTAAGGCAACGAGTCATGTCACTCACCTCCGCCTACCAAGTTAAACCTAGGCTGCCGACTCCACTCTTGAGGGCAGGCCATGATCTAACACTCAACATAGTTTTCCAGAATTACTAAAAGTGAACACTGTTCACATGTGAACCAAAACGGACCTCACTCTGGACACCACAGACACTGTCCTTTTCAAGCCACCTCCTCTGTTTTTCTTAGTCTATGGACTTCCTCTAGATTTTTAAAGATTTCTTTGTTTTTATTTTATGTGCATGAGTGTTTTGCCTGCATGTGAGTCTGTGTACTGTTTGTGGGCCTAATGCCCACAGAAACCAGAAGAGGGGATCGGATCCCCGGGATCTGGAGTTACAGCCAGTTGTGTGCTACCATGTGGATGCTGGGAACTGACTCTGGGTCCCATAGAACAGCCAGTGACCCTAACCACTGAGCCATCTCTCCAGCCCCACTCGTGTTTTAAAATAAGTACAAAGCACTTCTTAAACACATGCATCATGCTTACACAGCAACAGTAAAATCTTTGTGTGACTGTCAATGTGACACTGAGGCACATGTGTGTCAGGGTGCATGTGGCGGTCAGAAGACAACTGTTGAAAACTGGTTCTCTCCTACTACCGTGAGGGTCCGGAAGACTGACCTCGGGCCGTCAGGCTCTCAGCAAGCACCTTTACCTGCTGAGCCACCGAGACGGTCTTGGTGTGACTGTGAAGGTAATGTGGTGGAGAAAGGGCGGTTTTAAACGATGCTGACTCAGTTTTACATCCGCAGTCAAAAAACACCCTCCGGCCGGGCGGCGGTGGCGCACGCCTTTAATCCCAGCACTCGGGAGGCAGAGCCAGGAGGATCTCTGTGAGTTCGAGGCCAGCCTGGGCTACAGAGCGAGATCCAGGAAAGGCTCTAAAGCTACAGCAGTGAAACCCTGTCTCAAAAAACCAACAACAACAACAAAAAACCACCCTCCGCTTGCACATATAACAAAATGATTCAAATGTGTCACAAACATGAAAATGATGCTTAAAGTTTCAAAATGTGTAGGAGAAAACACTGAAAAATTGTTCTCAGATAAGACTCTATGTGTAACACAAAAAGCAAGAATCAAAGAAAAAATGACAAATTGCACTTCTTCAAAATTAAAATTCTTAAGTCAATGTGGTAATGTGTGCATACAATACCAGCACCTGGGAGGCAGAGGCAGAAGGCTTAGGGGTTTAAGGCCATCTGAGTGAGCTTGGCTGCATGAGTCCCTAACTTTACAAAAACAAAACATGACAGACAAAATTTAAAAAAAAATTTTTCCCTTGAGACAGAGTCTCACTATGTAGCCCTGTATGTCCTGGAAGTCATAGAGATCCACCTGCCTCTGACTCCATAGCACCAGGATTAAAGGCATGCACTACCATGTCCACTGAATTTCTTATCTTTGTAACACACACCGTAACACTTTGTAACATGAGAAAGAGAGAGAGAGAGAGAGAGAGAGAGAGAGAGAGAGAGAGAGAGAGAGAGATTGAGAGATTGAGATCAAGCTACAACCTGGAAAAATATATGCAAATACAATCCTGATTACTGATAAAGATCTCCTATCCAGAATGCATAACTCTCTCAATAGTGACTACCCAATCAATTGGATCAGGAGCTGGAATTACTGGCTGCTCTTCCAGAGTCCAATCCCAGGAGCCACATGAAGGATGATGTTAAAGTCTGTGTCTGCTACAAATCCATTAGGTCCCATTTCCATCTAATAGTAATGCACCGTTTACACCAGGAGCAGATACTAGATTTGTCGATATCCTTATTTATGAGAGGTTTCTCCTTTAACCAGTTAATATGAATTACACCGGCTTATTTCTTAAATTACTGGGATAGGGTCTAATTGCTCGTATTGCTTTCTTCCAATAGGTTGCTGGATTTGATCTCTTTATCTAGCAAGGAATGTTGCTAATGAAGGGAACCGGTCTTTAGTTTTCATTTATTGCAGTAACAACAAGCTAGAAAGTGTTCTCTCTTCTATTTTCTGAAAGAATTTGTACAGGAACATTACTCCTTTCTAAAACATCAGTAAGCTGGGTGCCATGGCACCTGACTAACCCCAGCACACAGAGCACTGAGGTAGGATGACTGAGACTTCAAGGCCTCCCTGAGCTACACAGCAGGAGCCTGTCTCAAGAGCTGAGGACTAGAGATGTGAGGAGTGAGCACTAGCGGGGGTACAAGGCCAATCAGTTCCCAGGAGTGAACAAAACAAGTTCACAGACGTCCAGCAGAGCACCTGCAAGTTTAGTCCTTTAATAGACAAAAGGTTATTCGGATTTCCTGTCTTGTGTCTTATGAGAAATTTATAATCTGTCACTATTTAACTTACTAGACTAATAAAACTATCACAGATTCTCTTTATGAACCTTCCAGCGCTAACTTCTGTAGCAGGGTCTCTTACTTTACTAAAACTTTTGCTCTTCATTTTTTTTGTCCAGCTAATTCTAGAATACTTTTTACATTTCACATTGGCCACTCACACGGGTGCCTTCTCTGATAATGTACAACTTCATGTTCCCAATCACACCACCCAGCTCGGAAAGAGCAATGTCAGATAAAACGTTCTTCTAACGTATCCTTGCTAATGTTAGACTGTCTGTCTGTCTGTCTTTAAAAATGAAAGGGATCTCTATTTCTTTTCTCCAGGATAGGGTTAATATGGCTCCATCTGTGGTGACCCGACCCATCACCTACTGAGAGGTGTGCTTCTACTGGAGTGTGTTCACTTGTTCCACACTGTCTGCAGCTCTTTCACGTTAGACTGTAAGCTGCACAACTGAGCTGGGAGAGAAGCTGCATAGCCTATGTGTACTGGCTATCTGAACTTTACAGGAAGTGGATGACCCCTAATGTAGAGAAGTTTTTAAATCAAAGATTGGCCGGGCGGTGGTGGCGCACGCCTTTAATCCCAGCACTCGGGAGGCAGAGCCAGGCGGATCTCTGTGAGTTCGAGGCCAGCCTGGTCTCCAAAGCGAGTTCCAGGAAAGGCGCAAAGCTACACAGAGAAACCCTGTCTCAAAAAAAAAACAAAAAAAAACAAAAAAAAAACAAAAAAAAAAAAAAATCAAAGATTGACATTAGATATTATCAAATATCTTCTCTGATAATTATTATAATATGTATTTTCCCCTTTAGACTAATAAAAGATAAAGTATATTAATAGCTTCCAATTAACTGCATCATGATTGCATCCTAGAACATCTGGATTCAGGAAGGGCTTTTGGTTTGGGGACCTGTTCTTGTATTTTAGGATTTTTTTACAAGCTCCAGTTGGTCCTAACAGTTGTCTTCACTGCGCCTGCCAGCTTCGGAGGAGCAAGCTTTCTTTTAAAGCACGTCTTGGCTACCCTTAGCAGCCATGGGCTTCTCCCTCCGAATTCTTTTTTTTTTTTTTTTTTTGACTTTTCAGGGGTTTTAATGGTCAAAACAGAGAGGTCTGGTTCATTTCAGCTCCTTCACTGCCAAACCAGGGGGCAGGGACTGTTTCAGTTTCTCAGCCTTCTCCTTGTCTGTGATGACCAGGGTGTAAAGGTACCTGCTGCAACGAACCTTGAACTTCACATTATCCTTGTTCTTCTTGATCTTGACAGATTTGGCATCCTTCCGCCGGGCTGTGAGCAGAAAGTCCTTGATTTCCTCAATTTTCCGAGGCATGGCGACGGACGCTCGGCGCTGGAGACCGCACCTCAGATTTAGCTCTCTTTCCCACCTACCCAAAATACTCACCCTCCCTCCGAATTCTTACTGCATCTAAGCAACTATCACAGCACAGAACCGTATCTGACAGACACTGAAGCTATTGAACTTCGACTCTCCTCCACGGCCTCAACACAGGAGAAACAAAACATGTTCACAGGCTGTAAATTACTTTCACAAACCCCTGCCTGAGGTAGCCAGGAGTGTGCCTGATAAAATTATTAAGTATTTGTAATGTGTCTATTGTGCTTTCTGCCATTAACACATCCCAACCTTATCTGTGCTGAGTATACAGCATTTATTCGATTTTTGAAAAATCAAATCGTTAAAATATATGGTCATTTAAGCATCAAAAAAAAAAGGTCATTTTGCAGATACTCTTTTTACAAAGGAAAAACAGGGATAGCTTAATGAATTTAACCGAAGGAGATAAAGTTTATAAAATGCATTATTTATTGACTTTTCTAGATGTAATTTAATTCACACACATCATTACTAATAGAGTTACACTGAATAATAAGTTTGATATAATCTCTAGGGTCTCTTTCAGGAACAAGAGTCCAAGAAGCTATGAAATGGGTTCATTTTTAATATTAAATCCACAATGTTCTCACACAAATCTTTTTTTTTCTGAGACAGGCTCTTACTACGTAGCTCAAGCTGGCCTTAAACTGGCAATCCTCCTGCCTCAGTCTCCTGGATGCTGGTATTACAGATGTCTCCCCACCACACCCAGCTCTAACCCATCCTAGAAGTAAGGACCTACTCAGCCTTGCCCGGCCTTAGCAAAGCTGTTAATGCGAAGTACCTCTGCTTCTGGAAGCCCTCTTCCTTCCTGCTGGTTCTGCTGTCTCTCTGGTTCTTTTCTTCTTAGCTGCTTTGCCTGGCCCTTGTCCAGACCCAGAATCAGAGTCAGAGGAGTCAAGCTTGGCTTGGCGATGCCTCCTGGACTTGGACGCCTTATTAAGAGAAATGCAGTTACTCACGATGAATAACAAAATGAACCCAAGGACAGACCACAAAGGTGAGGAAAGCAGAAACACGTGTCATCACGTCCTTTACCATTACCAGGCTTGTACTACACAGTTTGTATGGAGACATAGACTTTCACCTTTGTAACCAACCCCTGCAGCCGCGTCACCGACAGCTCACACTGGGTTAGGATGCAGTTGCTGTTCTCTGGACCGGCTAGCCAATGAAGCTGAGAAGAGTCAGGTCTGACTCAGAGTAAGGTTCCTCCCACTGTGTGCCCAGCTCCGGGTATGTGGCCCAGACTGGTCAAGAGAGGTTTCCCAAACCCACCACACTGTGACTTGTTCACTGTGTTTTAGAACGGTAACTACCAGGAAGGAAGCGCCAGCTTCAAACCCAAAGCCAGGAGCATGAACGGCACTGAAAAGCAAGGCAGGAGAAATGAGGAGGGAAGTTCTGGTCCTAAGGTCTCTAAGACCAGCAAGGCAAGGGTTTTCTTGTTGTTGTTTTGAGGCAGGGCCCCTCTACACAGCCCTGGCTATATAAACTATATCACCCAGGCTGGCCTTGAACTCACAGAGATACGCCTTATTAGTGAGTCTTCCAAAGCTATTATATAAGACACCAGGTGCACCTCAAGAGGGAAAAAAACTACAGTTGTGCAATGATGCACTTGGAACAACTTGTGGGATATGATGTAATTGATTTTCACAATTATCTGAGGTCTTAAGATACACATTAGACATCATCTGACAAGAAATCCTCTCCATACATAAAGAGAATTCGGGTTAAAAAGAACTGAATGTGGGGCTGGAGAGACGGCTCAGCGGTTAAGAGCACTGGCTGTTCTTCCAGAGGTCCTGAGTTCAATTCCCAGCAACCACATGGTGGCTCACGACCATCTGTAATGAGATCTGGCGCCCTCTTCTGGCCTGCAGACATATGTGCAGGCAGAACACTGTATACATAATCAATAAATAAATCTTTAAAAAAAAAAAAAGAACTGAATGTAATCCATTTGTCTTCCTTGGTGTGTTTTCAATGTCTTATACTCAGTTTACTGTGATGGTGTGTAGCAACTGTGTAACACCTAACCAATAGGAGTCATCCTAAATATTGATTACTACTTTCTGTTCCTACAGTTAGGAAATGAGTTTGCTTTCCCATGAAATAGTCACACACACACACACACACACATCCAAGAAAAACATACAGAATTAAATCATTCTTATCAGTACGTACTTCCGCCTACAACTTGATTGAGTAAAACAATGAAATAAAAACACAGAAACCCACAAAACAGGCACAAGGTGGAGACAACACGATTACAGTTGAGTAAAGCGACAGTTGACTTCACAAGGAAGATTGGAAATCAAACGGCCGCACAGGAGAACGATTACAAGACCGCCCACCCCGCCAGGACTGCACCCAAACCACAGGGAGTCGGTGAAAACCTACATGGGGAACCGTCGCGTCCGGCTCCCCAGCCCCAGAGCTGAGCGATGGACCACCTCCCTAGGACAACAGGAGCCCGTTCTCCAGGAAGCCAAACAAGAGAGAGAGATTTAGGATTTCAATAATTCATTAATAAATAAACAAGTAGATGGAGGCACAGAAACAAAGATGGCCGTGGAGGGGCAGCAGAAGGCGGCCGTCGCGTGGACTCCAGGCCTCCCGACTGACCCGGAGGAAGCTCCGGAAACACCGGCAGCTGGGCTGGCTTCCCACGCTCTTCTCACGGGAATGGGAATGGAAGTCTCCTCTTTAGTGAAAAGGAATAGACCCAAGAAAAAGAAATGAAGGCTTTCACAGAACCTGCATTATCTGTTAGTCACTCCATATAAAGAGACATCTGAGGAGCTCTGATCTTCTGGAACAAAGCCAAGAGAATGAAAAACAGAGACCAAAATAAACAGAAAAACGGATTCAAAGGAAATGGGAAGAAACATCAAAAACTGTGATTAAATTAACATCCTTAATGACAGACATTCTCAGTAAAGAAAAAAAATATCAGCACACATACTAAAAAAAAACAAACAACAACAAAAATCAATGGCCAAGAAGTTAACATTTAAGAAACACCCTAATAGAAACAGACTGAAAATAGCAAAGAAAAAACAAGATGGGTAAAGAAAAAAAATACAATAAAAAATAACAACTAAAAAAATTCTTCAGGCACAAAGGTCCCTGACTGAAACAATGGCCACCTGAATGCCAACAATCAATAAAAACCCACGTTACAGTCCTGAACTTCAGGGACAAAGAGCCCACTCCCACTCCTCCTGGATCCGAGTCCAGAAGGTGGAAGAGGATGGGGAACACAGCTTCAACGTTCCAGGCAAAGAGCAAAAGGAAGAGTCAGAGGAGAAGCCACACAGTGCCTCTCCAGGTCAGGCGCATGGGGCACGAGGCAATGGGCAGGGCGCTGCTGGGTTACAGAGGGGACTGCTGGGTGACTGACCCTTGAACTGTATGTGTGTGGATTACGTGGATGAACACTAATCTGCCATTTAGGAGAGAGCAGACGGTACGCTGGCTTACTAAACATGGAACTTACCTGAGCAACAGCTGAAAAGGCTTTTGCTTTTATTTTTGCTAAAGACTCGGCTCTTTCACATCTCTGGAAGGAAAACAAACAAGGAAAACAAAGTTCAAACATGACATTAGGAAATTACAAAAATTCGAGGACCTACAGTCAGCTTAAGATCTGAGACAAAGGTCAAATAAAAGAAACCAACATGTTTAGACACGCATGATACAAAAATCACACATGACACCCTCTGCCTGCCGGCACAGCAAGCGGCATTAATGCCATCCTCATAGCTGTGGGCCATCTCTGTCCAGATTCATGAAGGAGGTAGGGACAAAAGCCTTGGGGATTAGCAGAGCTCTTGACTGCCATTCCCTCATCTGCCTGTGGCTAAAGATGGCTCCACAAGACAGATGAAACACTGAACATGAGAAGCTGCAGAGAGCATCCAAGTGTCACAGGGTTGAAAGGCTGACAAGCAAGAAGCTATCACACAAGCCTTACCCTGCCCCTGAGAATTAAAAAGAGCACTTTCCAGCACCCCGCCCCATCTGCTCAAAACTGCTGCCACCTCACTCCCGCCCTGCACTCAGAATGCCCTGCTCAGCTCAGGTGAAGAACAGACCTGACTCCAGCCCTGCACTCAGAATGCCCTGCTCAGCTCAGGTGAAGAACAGACCTGACTCCCACCCTGCACCCAGAATGCTCTGCTCAGTTCAGGTGAAGAACAGACCTCACTCCCGCCCTGCACTCAGAATGCCCTGCTCATTCAGATGAAGAACAGACCTCACTCCCGCCCTGCACCCAGAATGCCCTGCTCAGTTCAGGTGAAGAACAGACCTCACTCCAGCCCTGCACCCAGAATGCTCTGCTCAGTTCAGGTGAAGAACAGACCTCACTCCCGCCCTGCACTCAGAATGCCCTGCTCATTCAGATGAAGAACAGACCTCACTCCCGCCCTGCACTCAGAATGCCCTGCTCATTCAGGTGAAGAACAGACCTCACTCCCGTCCTGCACTCAGAATGCCCTGCTCATTCAGATGAAGAACAGACCTCACTCCCGACCTGCACCCAGAATGCCCTGCTCAGCTCAGGTGAAGAACAGACCTCACTCCCGCCCTGCACCCAGAATGCCCTGCTCAGCTCAGGTGAAGAACAGACCTCACTCCCGCCCTGCACCCAGAATGCCCTGCTCAGCTCAGGTGAAGAACAGACCTCACTCCCGCCCTGCACTCAGAATGCCCTGCTCAGCTCAGGTGAAGAACAGACCTCACTCCCGCCCTGCACTCAGAATGCCCTGCTCAGCTCAGGTGAAGAACAGACCTCACTCCCGCCCTGCACCCAGAATGCCCTGCTCAGCTCAGGTGAAGAACAGACCTCACTCCCGCCCTGCACCCAGAATGCCCTGCTCAGCTCAGGTGAAGAACAGACCTCACTCCCGCCCTGCACTCAGAATGCCCTGCTCAGCTCAGGTGAAGAACAGACCTCACTCCCGCCCTGCACTCAGAATGCCCTGCTCAGCTCAGGTGAAGAACAGACCTCACTCCCGCCCTGCACCCAGAATGCCCTGCTCAGCTCAGGTGAAGAACATACTGGCTACCAGGGAACACAGAGCGGAATTTCCCATGTTTACGTAATGCGAGTCAAGGGTCCTAACACT